TAATTTCCTGGACTCAAGGAATAACTCAGAAAAAAAAAAGGGTTAAACACATACCGTATTTGACGGCATATAAGACGCACTTTTTTTCCTAAATTTGGTCTCAAAAAAGTTACCTGCGTCTTATACGTGAAGGACACAGGTTAACTTTCAATACTGAATGCTATTTTTAGCCCGGATAAAGGTCTAGGCACACATCACTTTTTCTACATCTGCCATAATTATTTTGCGCATGCGTGAAATATCTGTCACAAAAAAGCGCCAAAGCTCGAAGCTGATGTCGAAGTTCGAACAGGTTCAACGGTCACATTGCCTCTATGGAGCCTTTCCTTCTTTACATAGACTTTCTTTGACTCGGCCGACACACGTGTCGGTATCAGTGCTACTCTGTATAAACGTGTTCAGTATCGGTGCTTAAAACTATTTGTTTTAAAAAAATACCCTGGAAAATATGACTACAGGAAACAGGACATTAAGCTATACAATTCAGTATAAACTAGGAGTGTTAAACTACGCCAAAGTTAATGGAAACAGAGCAGCAGCAAAGCATTCGGTCTACCACCTACCGAAAAAATGATACGTACTTGGCGTACTTGTAAAAGGATCTTGGGAGGACATAAAGGCTGAAGTAATTGTTAAGTCCTTTAAGAAGTGCGTAATCAGTAATGCTCTTGACGGAACAGAAGACAACACATTATTCGAAGAAGAAGATACTAGCGATGACGGAAACAGTAGTGATGACGATTATGATGATAGTGAAAAGGATTTTTATGGTTTTGAAAGTGATTAAAGTCTCATTTCATGATAGGCAACGTTCTCCTTGAATCTGTGTTTTTTGTTGTTTCTGCTTAATTTTGATTGCTTGCCGTTCATTCATTTATTCATTATTGAAATTTAATATCATGTTCAAAATAGCTTGCCGTTTGTTAATTTTCCTTAATAAAAATATGTTTGGTAATTGCATTCAATGATTGTTTATTTGGCTTTTACTAAACGTGAAAACTAAAAGAAACCACATTTTAAGTTATTGTTTATTATTGTTTATTATTTTAAGTTATATTTATTTAAGTTATTAAATATTACCATGCTGTTGCGCGGACTATTCAAATTTTTTTTCCTTGTGTGTGGCCTTATAAATAAGGGGGAATCTTATATGCCGTCAAATACCATAGTCATTTAATACGATTCAAAGTAATCTCCATCAGCCATAATGCACGTCTGTGCTCGACTGTACAAATTTCGGAAAGAAGTTTTAAAGTCCTCTTTTGGAATGTTCTTTAATAGTGACGTTACAGTTTTCTTGATGGCTTCAACATCCTGAAATTTTGTTCCCTTGAGCGAATTCTTCAGCTTAGGAAACAGGAAAAAGTCTGCGGGTGGTAGGTCTAGAGAGTATGGTGGATGCTGCATTTCAACGACACCATGCTGGGCTAGGAATCACTTCACAGGCAATGCAATGTGTGGGCGGGCATTGTCATGTAGTAGCAGCCAATTTCCATTTTGTTGAAAATGAGGCTCACTCTATGAATTCGTTTTCGAAGTCGGTCAAGAACTTCTGTGTAGAACTTCCATTGATAGTCATGTTAGGAGGAAGAAATTTATGATAAATGAGTCCATCACAATCGAAGAAAGCGATTAATATGACCTTGATTTTGGACTTTTTAAACCGAAATTTTTTCTGCCTTGGTGAACTTGGAGACTGCCATTTGGAGCTTTGACGCTTGGTTTCAGGGTCATATTGATAACACCAAGACTCGTCTCCCATGACTATCCTATCCAGGAACACAGGGTCAGCATCAGCCTTGTCGATAAGTTTGCCACATGCGTCAGTCTCAATTGCTTTCGTTCGGCCCTTAAATGGTGAGGAGTGAATCTGGAACAAATCTTGTGTTTGCCTAGGTCTTGCATCAAAATTCGCCGAACCGTCTCTTTGTCCATGTTGAATTCATTGGCCAGTACTTGAATAGTCAATCAACGATCACATTTCACCATATCGCGAACTTTTTCAATTGCTTCCGGCGTGCATACGAACTACGGCTGAGCTGTGTGTGGATCATTTTCGACGGTTTTGCGTCCATCCCGAAAGCGTTTAAATCGTTCAAAAGTTCTTGAGTGGGATAATGCTTCCTCGCCGTAAACTTGCTTTAGCATTTCGTAGGTTTCCGCAGCTGTCTTGCCCAATTTGAAGCAAAATTTAATATTAATTCTTTGCTCCATTTTCACTTTGAAAATAGGAATTTAAGAGCTACAATTTAATGTACCTTTCCACGAGAACCACTTACTTCAGAATGGCGCCGATTGCAATGCACATGCACAAGAAAACGCTCTTTAATATGCAATCATTAGCGCCATCTTCCCGCTTTTTGTTCTCCTAGAATTATTACATCAGTCCTGGAAATTTATACCTGGACCTTGTACATAATTATATCAATATAATAATTTTTCAGTAACATTTTAAGTTTTCACTTCAGTTAATTATAAGGAGAAACAATAAAAATGTGGTAAGGACAAACGTAATGAATGAAAATATGCTATAATTATACAAAATGTCAACATGTGAAATATTGTGAAAAAATTTTCCTAGCAATGAATATCTTAAAGTTAAAAGTTGCAAAATCATATCCATCTTCTTTAATTATTAATATCACAATAAATTAGAAAGGACAATAGACATGACTAATTTCTACAAATCTTGATTGCTTAGTCAATAACGTAAACTCTTTGTTTTATTTTTCCTTTCATCCCTTGCATTCTTTTATTTCCTTATGTTTAGAATTATTTTGCTAACATATTTTTAACTCTTAATTTGTTCTTCACGATGCTTATTCATTTAAGAAATTTATAGTATATGAATTGATCACTATTTCAATTATTACTGCAAACAGAACCCAAAGGAACCTTTCTGGTACAGTCAAAAGTTGTTAATTCGGACACCCATAATCCGGAATGATCTATAATCCGGACCTCAAAGCTAAAATCTTTCTGCGCATGCGCTGCGTTGATGCATGCGCATAGGCGTTTTATGCGTGCGCGCAGGACATTTACGCGCATATGTGTCTGCGCAAGTGCAGAATACATTTTTGCGTGCGCGTTATAATGTATAACGGAACGGTATAAGCTTAAAATTATCTATTATTATTTCAGTTAATGTTGATGATTGCGTGTTCCTTAATCTTCGAAATTGGATCCGGCCTATTATTTTTTTGCAGACTGTAAGAGCAATTTTATAAAGTAAGCTTGAACTTTCGATTATATCAAATAGAATTCCGATGCTGGAGCTCCCAAAGGATCTAGAAAACGAAAGTATGTTTCAATGTCCATCAAACAAAAAACGAATTGCTACAAAAAATGGATATAGGCATATCCTTTGTTTCTCTAACCATTTCAAAATCTGTTTATCAATTTCACGCTGAGGGGGGGGGCAACGTCGCGGCGCACAGTGAATTGGAAGTTGATCTGTCAGCACTATCCTTATCGTCAGGGCAGATGTTTTTATTTTATTCGGCTTATAATTCCTTACTAAATGTAGCATTTAATCTCGATGTACTGTCTTTGATATGATTTAAATCAAATTCCTCGTCATTACAAATATCACGAATACAAATCAAATAGTTTTCTGGTTGCAATTTTCTAATTCGGCTATGCGTAAGGTATGCTATGATGCGCGCGTTGAAGAAATGTTTAATAAAGTAAACAAATAAATATTAAGCTTCTTTTTTGGTAAATTTGATACCCTTTAGATCATAATTGCTCATTATTTAAATTACGGTTCATATTTTAATTTATAATTTCTGCATGCCATCTTACCAGATTTAAACTGATGATCTATAATCCAGAATCGCCGAAGTCCCAACGAGTCCGGATTAAAGACTTTTGACTGTATTCTTAAAAACTTCTTGACAGTATATTATCAGCTTTAAATTCAGCAATGAATGAATATATTCTAATATTCCTTCTTAACCTTTTAACTGTCAAGTTATTTTGATGATTTGGTTGCATAAATTGTCAATTTTGTTTTATTTCAAAAATGAAATGTTTGCCTCGCAGTAAAAAAAAATTTTTTTTAATGCCGCGCTCTTTGAACTTTAACCTCTATCCTTTGAAACCTCCAGTAAAATGCTGCCATCTGTTGAACTGAAGCCGAAATAAACTTCTCACGATATATATTCGTGTATAACAATACGATGCACTAAAAAAAATTAGCCCGAGAAACACTCGGGCGTGACATTTTGGAATACCAGTGCAGTGCCCGAGATTATTTTGGGCATGACAGTTAAAAGGTTAAAAATGTGCACTAATACGAAAAGATAACAGAAAAGCTGAATCAATCTCTAAAACCACATTTTTAACTTTTCATATTTTTATGTAAAACTTATTTTTAATTGGTCAACTACTGATTATAAATTACTTTTAACTAATTTAATCTCTTTAAAGAACTATTTTTTTATCTTTCGCTACTTGAAATTATTACCATATAATTAAAAACATATCAAAATGTGTTTGATACTATTTTGCTTCTACTTTTTTCACAATGTTTGAACACTAAGATATATCACTAGCATTTTCCTCGTAAAATCTACTCTATGTCGAAGTACTCATTTTAAAAATTTCAAATACAAGCATACAAAAGAGTTATCCCTGTTAATAACTTCAAATCATTATTATATTAGCACATTCAGCACAATTTACACAGCTGTTCCAGCAACAGTAAATTTAATGCCTAGAATTACTATTACCACCACTATTACAAGTTGGCTAAAAAATACCAGTTCTGATTCTAACAGTATAACAAATGCTTTCAAATTTCATTAAATTCACAGTCCGTATTATTACTTAATATATAATGAATGCTATTATGTAAATATCCATTGCAAGGCTCGTATATATTCAGAAATCGATACAAAATGAAGCTGATGATTTTTTAAAAAAGACAAACTGTAACCTATGTTTTTTAAAAGTGCTGAAAAGAAAAAAATTCATAAATTCCTAAGATTAAATATTACCTGTGCCTTAACTGCAGATTAAGATCATGTATGAGAATGCCAGTTGGCCCCACACCGATCCTAAGTGTTTCACCATTTCGATTCTTGACGAAGTACTGCTCCATTCCAAAGTCTTCAAGCTCAGACGCTTCTTTGAGAAACTGATAAACTGCAACATTAGATTTTGTACCCTTAAGCAGCATATGTTCTTTCAAAACATTCTGACACAATTGAGCAATTGCTGTCTTGTCTGTTTCAATGCAAACCTACAAAACAAATGAAGCAATACATCAACACAAACTCAGTAACAAGTTAAAATTTTAATCAGAGGAACTTTTTTTTTTTTAATCTCATGTTAAGGATAATGCTTCATACAGTAATATACAAGAGAAATTTTCTCTTACTACTTATTTTTTATATTAAAGCATCCTTTAGTTTTATGATAAAGTTTAATTCAACAATTACTATGCATGTGTTTAACTAAATTGATGCTTCTTCATACCATTTTAAGCAAAATGTATTGTTACGTGTACAGGTTCACAATAGATTGAATGCACACATGTCCAATGATAGGTTGTATAAAATTTATTTTATCAAAAGAAACATCTCAGTGTTTTGGAAGTTTCTACAGAAATACTTATACAGATGTTCACAGTATCGCAGAGTACAATCAATAGTTACACTTTAAACTACTAAGAATGTTAAACACAACACAATGCAAAGCTAAAAAGCGAAGCTGAATCTGAGATCACACTCGGAACTAACTCTCTCTCTGTGATAACAGCTAATAACAACTGACAGCAGAATTTTTCACCCAACAGCCAAGATATTTCTAGTACTTTCCGCTTTTTGTAGTTACTGGAATGCAAATGAGGGGTCGACTTACAGTTACAGCTAATACAATGATTGATCACATTTATCCAATTACAATACCTTATGGTAATACAGGGACTAGCTCAAAATGTCATTTTGGCAACTTTCGGAAATTTCTCACCAAATTTGGTGACAAAACTAGTGTCAAATTAGTTGCCAGCTTAGCAATATCTCCCCAAATTACTACTAAGATAGCCATTTACTCATTGTATGCTTTGCCCTGTATTCTTATTCTTACTTTTCCAGCATGGCTTGTCTCTCTACATCTTTCATGTTACATTACACAGAAAAATACAACGGTTTCACAAAATTGCACTAAAATCATCTATGTACAAAATCCATAACAGTATTTATCTTCTTATTTTAATTTAATGCAGGTGAGTAGCAGTATAAGCTTTCTAATAAAACCAAAAGAGAAAAATTCTAGACAATGAACTAACCATGATACATTGATGACTCGGTCATTTTACACATAAATTATACTATCATGATACCCTGATGGCTCAGTCATTTTACATATAAATTATGTAATATATGAATACTCACATGCATATTTTTAACATCTGCATTTGTTATTATACTTGGTTGGTTTAAATTATATCACTTATACAAATTCTGAGCTGATTCAGCTGATGCATAGCATTTTTAGAATGTTTTCAAAATAATCTAAAATTTCAGGCATTTGAAATCAAACTATTAGAATAGAGTTTGAATTCAAATATTAGTTTTATCATAACAAGTTTCTTAACAAGGAATGAAAAGAACTCATTTTCCCAAAATGTAACTTATTCTGAAGATAGAGCAGGGGAAAAGGCTCTAATATAAATGATACATGCCATTAATTTTAATGCATTTGGGTACACTTAAAAATTTGAATAATATAAATAGACAATATTTTTTTAATTCCTTAAAGTGATTATATTTGCCAGCATTTATCATAGCTACTGCACAAAAGTGGACCATTTTTAATATGGCAGTTATGTAAATCCATACATTTCAGAAGCAAGAAACATGAAAACTCATCAACATCTTTGCCAGAATTTTAACCACAGCCTGTCAGCTGGATGTATAAACCATTTACATCATGAGAACATGTAATGGGAACTATGATGATTCAATACAAATTACCCTCAGTGAATCAGTTTCTCCACATTTAGAATTCTTCATTTTGAGAGATTCATAAGTTTAGTGTCACAAAAAATATAATTTATCACTACTACAAGTATCATGGTTCATTATTTGTGTTCATCTTTAATACATATTGTTTTACATATTAAATGCTTATTCAAGTATATTTTATAAATCATAAATTTGAAAAATAATGAATAAATATTACTAATGTTGTACAAAATGCTATAGAATGAATTAAATAATCAACATAAGACAAATAACATTACAGGTTTATTATCAATTAATTTTCATTTTTCAATTAATTCTTTTAATTTTCTTGAATTAGTTTTGATTTCTATCCAGATATATTTTTCTTGATTTAGTTTTGATTCTTACCCAGATACAATTAAAAGGTGTGGCTGAGTTGAGAATTCTTTCAGAAGCTTCTTGACAAAGATCAAAGAATTTTCAACTGTTCTTCATTATTTGATATTGCATGAATTTTGTTATACGGATTTACTTCAGTTTTGATTTTTAAAAATTTGACTTTGTGCTTTCCTGTTAGTAAGTTTACTAACAGGAACATTTAGTCACTATGTAAAAATATTAATTCATATTCAAACAAATATACATACTTGTTGCTGCTCTTCCTCTCTTCCATAATATACAATGTCATCAGTGCTATTGCTATTACAATCACTACTGCCACCGGATCGCCAACGTACACGTATATGTGGTCGATCAATATCATCTGAGTTACTAGACACACAGTAATTAGATGGCAGGAACTTGGGATAGTTGAGTAAAGCAGCTGCAGTTCCACCTTCTGTATTTAAATCTCCTAGTTCAATCTGAGCTACTAGAGCTGCAAGCCTGTATAACTGATGACTGCCAGTTGTGCGCAACCGATTCTCAACAAAGGCTCGTCGAACATCAAGATAAAACAAGTGGCTGAAAAAAGTTTAAGTTTTATTTATTTGAAAGATATGTAACTGCATAGTAACCAAAATTCATTCATTCAAAAACAGCAGAAAAATCACTATTTACATTTAATTGCTTTTTTTCAGTTTAAATGACTATATACGAGTCATTATAATTTTATGAACTTAAGTTATGAATCCATTTGAACAATAACCAAAGAAGCACCAAAATTTTAAATAAATCTGATCAACAGTGTAATCAATATCTGCAAGGAAAGAAATATAAAACATTGACCTAATTTTAACTTTATTGAAGCAAAAGACTATCAGAGCAGCTCTAAAATTTTAGATATCTGACAATAAGTGATCAATGAAGCAGCATCTATCAACATGAATATCATCTAGTATCCCAAACACCAATTTCACTCATTAAAGATAAATTCAGAAATTGTTGCTTACTGATCTGATCCTTAAGCTCTCTGACCAAAAATGCACAATGAACCCAGAGCAAACTAGAGATCTATTTTCTGTATTTGGCATGTTGTTACATATATCCTCTCTAAACAAACATTTAAGATCTCTAACATTTAAAAATCTTCCTCTGTGTAATTTATGTTATCTTAGGACTTTAAATAGAAGACTTTTTACTGGAATAAGCCTGAACAAATCCCAATATTCTCTAAACCAGTGTTTCCCAAACTTTTTAAAATCATGACCCCCATTTTAGGTGCTTGTGCTATACTGCAACCCCAAATCCTCAGGAATATGTATTTTATAGTACTATGTTTAGACCCCTGTTATTCAGTTTTTAAGAATCTTGCAAACAAAGAAAAAAAAATTTTTTGTGACCACCATATTGGGTCACTACACCTAGTTTGAAGAGTACTGCTCTAAACAATTATTTAAGATCTTTTCCAACACTTAAAAACCGTTTTCTGCATAATTTATGTTATCTCAAGGCTAAGTACTGGCTTGCTAGACTAAATACTAGACTTAATTTCACTGGCATAAGCCTGAATAACTTACCAAAGAGACAAAACTATGGAACTATTCTTTACTCTAAAAATGCTTTAAAAACAGAGTTTTTCTGACAGAAAAATGACATTTCAGTACACTTAAAAAAAAAATGAGGATTCCCTATTAATGAGCTATGCCAGATATTATTATCCAGTATAGTAACTACTCCATACGTAAAAATCAGATGAAGTTGTACATAATTATATAAAGAACAGAATAAATCATGCTCTACAATGTTATACAAAGTTTTACATTTTTATCAAAATAAATTACAGTTATTTTCAGAATGTCAGTCGATGATGCTGTTTTCAGAAGAGCTTCACAAGCCTTTATCTTAACACACAATCTGGTTTTAGGAAAGCATTATGCTTTTATATAGTTTGCAGCAAGAGTTCAATATTTTTCAATAGCATCAATCAAAATAGCAGCAGATGATTGAGACATTTATTGAAAATCCAGATGTCATGCGTTACAAAAACCTATAAATACAGTTTACTCTATTAACTCTGAAAGACCCATACACTCCAAAGGATTAAAATTCAAAACTCCTACAAGTTAAACCGGTCTTAGATTTAAAAATCAAGCTGATATACTCATGCACAGACTGATAATCTCTTGAATATATGCTTCTGCAATACAGCACAGTTCACAGGAGCACTGTAAAATGGATTTTTTTTTGCAAACTGCACCTGTATGAGGACATGTATTAGGGCCATCTGTATACTTTTGATGTGGATTTTGATGATTAGGAAATGAGAAATAAATGCCAAACTGATAAAACAATTTCACATATTCAACCTGAAATGTAATGGCTTCTTTGATGAACATTGCAGAGATCATAACTCTATATCTTCTTACGCTGGACTTTTGGGATGTTGAGTAATCCTTAGAAAGCGAGTCCAGACTTAAAGGACTATAAAAAGGATTCAAAATAGATCAAATCTGACCGTAACAAGCTCTTTAAGGCAGCTTAGTGTAATTTAATTTGGTTTTGAAAATCTGCCAATCATGTCCCATTCTTAAAATCTATTTGTTTTGCTTTTTTTTTCATCTTAGAATCAATGAAATAGCTTAAATTTAAACCCAAATAAAAATTACAGAAAAAGTATGACTTACCGTGTTATATCTTGCAGCACAAGATGTGGTGGAACAAAGAATTTCACTCTAAGATGCATACGATATGGTGGTGGACCAGGCAATTGCCTTCTGATTTGGTTTCGCAAATTCAACCACAGTTTCTCATTATGTGGGCCGACATATTGCAAGCCCATGTAATCTGATTCTATAATGCCCAACATCTGACATACCTAAAATAATTAACATTAACAGTCAGTAAGTAAGAAATATAAGAGATGCTCTTTAAAAATAAGTAAAATTCAATTATGGAACAGCATTAGGTTCAAATTCAAGAGACCATTTATTGAAGAAAAATCTCTGGTTCTCTCACAGTAAGTACTTGCTCATTATACAAGAATATTAGAAATATTTAATTATAAATGTAAGCAAAATATACTGAATTTTTAAAATTGAAATTATAATTAAATATAAGCTGAAATTAATTTAATATTAATGTTATTTTAAAAAAAATATTAATATCATTTAAAAGAAACATATGAATTTTAACAAATTAAGGAAAATAACAGTAAGAATTATTTAAAAGAAACAGCAGTGAGTACATTATAATAATACAATCTATACATATTATTAATACGATAATAATATGTATAAATTGTTCTAATTACCAATTACACTTACATAAATCAAGCTATTTCATAGAATGCAGATCTCAAATTTTAAATCATATTTCTCAAAATGTGAGAGAAAAAACAGATAAATAGCAGTTAACTTATATTCTCTTTTACAAGAACTAAACCAGTTTATCGAGATTACTGGGTCTGCATAAAAACATAGCAAAGACTTAATGTTCTGTGATATCTCACTTATCGATTATTAGCACTCAATTTCACAGTCTGGCAGCTGAGGAGTGTCCAGTTATAAGGAAAATTGTTTCTAATTATACAACAGATAACAATGGTGGTAAAGGGGTGGAGTGTTCAGAGTATCTTGTAAAAGAGAGCCATGTAATTGTATTTACATTTTAAATGTTATAAGTGATATTCGAAGCAGTAGTTCTATATATGCATTATAATGCATTGAATAATGCTTGAACATCTATCTCATGTTTGCAACACCTCATCCCTTCAATGGCATCATTGTTTTCTTGAACTGCAAATCTGCCATTGAGGCCATCTAAAATGGCAAGATATAATTCTCCCAAGACATCAGCACACTTTTATAATTAATTGAGAAAGAGAAGAAATCATGCACCTTTCAGTGGATCCCAGCCCATGTGAACATCAAGGGGAATGAGCAAGCTGACTCTATCGCCAAGGAAGCCAGAACAGTCAAACCTGCCATCCAATCCACCACACACTTTCTGATGCTGTCGCAAAGCGGAGGCTTTCTGCCCATCCACAGCCGAAAGTTCCAACATCTGAGTTAAACTGTACCCGACATGGCACAACCACAATCACATGACTAAGAACGGGGCACCTGAGGGGCATGAAAGATCCTGCCTGATGACACCAGGGTATACACGGAGCGTGTGCACTATCCAAACACACAGCTGGACCACAGACATCTCCTGCCCTATCCTGCAGCCCTCTTTCAAACTGACAATGACTGATCATTCTTTTCATGGGCATAATCGAGAATGTGGCCAGGAAAGTGCTTCATGCCTTTGGTCCTATTTGATTTCTTGTTCTTCCTGCGTTTTTTCCTTCCCCCCTCTCTCTTTAGCACTTATCCTGGACACAACAACAACACATTTAAAATTCTCTCATTTGCATAATTTTTCATTTAAAAAACTTTTCTAAAATATTCTGGCTACTTGAGGTTTCTGGATAGTTGAATCCCAGACTGTCAGGCTTTAATCGTATTTCTTCAACTATGTATTACTCACAGATGGCCAAGTAATAAAGCAGTCAACCCCACTACATCCAGGAACATGTATGAGAGCTCCAGAGTGCCAGAGAGTGTGTGAATGAATTCAGGATGATAAGACAATAGGAAGGAAATGAACTTTAATGAAGTGATTTTTATCTTATCTAAGTCAAAAATTTATACTAGTTAACTATCTGTTGTTCAATAAATAAAGCACTGTTAGTGGCTTCATATCAATTCTCAATCAGTATTCAGCAGTAACAAACCATAAGTAGCTGAATGAGTGATGCATTTTTAGTTGATGTCACCAGCTGAAACAAGCAACATTTGTCACTGCTGCAAAACATGTGAGGATTATAGTTTGCTAATCTAACGCTCAAGCTATCAGAACAAAAGTGCACTTTGGTGATCTGTCTTCTATTCCCATATACTACTACAAAATAAATGAATCCATTTATACAATGAAAAGAATGCTTTCTTGATAAAGCAACAACTGCATAAGCTTTTGGTATGTTTAAAATGTGTTCGTTACAGACCGAGTTATCAGGTTTATCATATCTGATGCCTAGCACAGAGATAACATTAACAAAAAGTACCAAGAAAAGGTATATCAAATATATATTCTATGGACGATCAGTCTCAAACACTAATACTAAAAATCAGCCTTCCTTAAAAAAAAAAAAAAAAAAAAAAAAAAAACCTCCATAAAGATAAAAACTTCCCTTCTTGTCAATTAAATTATTAAAAATATAACCTTTTCCATGAAAACAAGAAAACTTTGAATTCTTAAACTGAACAATCAACTTCATATGATTAAATGTGAGAATTCCCTTTCCTGTGGCCAACTGAAAAACTTAGAGATTTAGGGGTAATAGGTAGGAAAATTAAAAATAGTGCTAAACATGAAATGGGATAATACTTAGCTTTAATGTTCTTTACTTAGTTTTAATGTTCTGATATTTGGCAGTTTATCTATAGTACTTCTCAAAAACTCTTTAACCAATATTATATTTTCTAAGCAAAGTAACAAACTATTCAAAATAATTTCAAAATTCTGCTACTGGAAAAAATGACTTTTCAATCAAAACATACTTAGATCTGAAATCAGCCAATTTTCATCAAATTAAACTTTATCTTGAGAAATTAAAAAAAGTATTGCTTCACTTTTTAAATATCACTTACTAATCAAAACTGCAAAGAAATTATTGCATGTGATACCTATTCAAAACATTTATTTAAGTTCTAGATTTTCACAATTTTTTCTTCTCCTGTTTCTTATATTAAATTGTATATCATGAAACTTTTAAAGCTGATAAATCAGTTAGCATTGTTAACCATACAAATAAAGTACTACCAATGAAAGAAAATAATTAGACAATAAAGGCATATGATTTTAGAAATTAAAAAAATCAGCAAAATATTTATAATTTTTTATTTTTTTAAATATTATCCGAATTTTTTTTTTTTTCTCTGCATGAAAGTTACATATTCCATTTTTCTCTCTTTCAGTTAAAATATTTTGTTTTTGTAAAATGTAATGATATTGACTTTAAAACAAAAAAAAAAAAAAAGTCACAACTAGAATTACAAAGTCAGGAAGAGGAGGGTGAAAAAAGCAAATTTTAATAAAAATTTCTTTTAAGTATTTAAAATGATTGTTAATTGTATATGAATGCACTTAATACTAAACTATTAAAACAATTTTCCTAAAAATATGTGGAAATATATAACTATCAAATTTAGAACATTGTTTTAAACTTCTCATTAATTATTCATTAAGTCATTTAAAAATCAACATTTCCAACAATACCTATTTCAAAATGTACTGCTTTTCAAATCTGGAAAACTAAAAAATTTCTGAAAATATTTATATTCTTTTATATTTTTAACATAGCAATATTTTTAGAACACATTACAGTTTAGCTGAAAATATGTTACACTTGATAAATGGTTTGCGTATAGCACAGAGAAACAATCACACATACTAATCGGAATACATGTTTATATTATTGTTATGCGCTGTTAAGCCAATTTCTTTCTTTTCAGTTTAAGTTACACCTGCTATTTATGACAACATGAAACATTAACTGTCTATGCCATAAAATATACTAAAATGGCCTATTTACCCTGACTTTTATTTTCATTACATGAAGCTGTACAATTTCTCAGTGATAACTGAAAGTTTCCACTACAGGAGGTATTACCATAGTAAACAACCTATGTTTTAATGGGAAATGACTAACAGAAGTTATTTTACATTCGCACTTAAAACAAATATACGTCATCAATGTTAAATGAAATTGATAATTTAAAAAAAAAACATTTATTCTTTATTTCGCTGTCGTGATCTCAGATCTGTTTTGTTGACAAGCTGAATAATCGTAAGTGTCGATGCTAAACGTAGAACGCCTACGAAATATTTCAATCAGTTTAATTCAGCACAAAAAGAAGATTAATAATTCGGATACCAATCCGTCAACTTCGTTTGTATAATAATAATACACTGTTGTTTTTAATAACATGATGACTAAAAAATTAACTTTTCCAAACTTCACATAATATATTTTACTTACTTTATCAAGACATAGCTTTCCTTTGGCTTTCGTATCAACTTCAACCTCTATTATCACAGAGTCAGCTTGACTTACAAGGCACAACATTCTTCATAAACAATGCAAAACATCCATAGATTGCCAGTACCTTTGTTTGTTATGCCATGAGCACCTTTCACTGCTCACCAGCTGACATCCTGTGCACTTAAAGCGCTTTAACAACAAAACGGTATGCTTCAGTCTGTAAACAAACTATTCTTTACAGAACGTGTAAGTTACTGTAGTACACGAGTTTTACTAAACGTACTATAGAGGGCGCTTCCATCTGCTCAAGTCGTAAAATAATGGGAAAAAACCAAGGAGGTTAGAATAGAAGGAAGGAAGGAAGGTTCAACTTAAACAGTGAAGCTTGGCAGCCATGTTACTGTTATCGTTGTGACTTGTGCAAGGAAGTCCGTAATTACAATATTTTTTCTTCTTTTCTTTTTGAAGCATGTCAGCTTGTGTTGTATATGAATGCACAAACAGATTTTCGAAAAAGGTTCCTGGGATTACTTTTCCCGCGTAAGTATTGATTTTCTTTTTTTTTTTTTTTTTATGTAATTTGATAAGTTAGGTAAAAAATATCACAATGTCATGTTGTTTTCTTTCCAGATGTGAAAAAAAGGGGATAATGATAATCAAAATATGTTTTTAATGTTTCTGTTTATAGCTGGCACCTTTGTTTCTTACCATACAATGATGTATGCTAGAATTTAAACTATATAATTTGAACGTTTTAGGTAATTCGTTTGATAATTTTCATGAAAAGTAAGACACCAATTGTTAATATTTTTATGAATTGTAAAGGTTTTAAACAAAGTAATGCTTTTCTTTATGTATTAATTATTATTAATTTTTAAGTTTTGTGAACTGTTAGGAATATAATTTGTGCATTTGATCAAGATAAACTAACTTTTCTGTTGTTAATTTTTTTTTTTTTTTTTTGCATAAATATACAAATTTGTGAACAGTATAGCGATAAAAGTAAGTAAAATATTTACACAACTGAACATGTGGAAAGATGTATCCAAAAATATAGGCATATTTCTGTAATTCAGCTTAATTCAAGGCAATTTCTTTGAGATTCATAAATATGAAACGCGCATAAACTGAAATCACTGAATTCACATAAATCTGTTTTATTTTATTAATATTTATTTTCTTGTTGTTATAAGGTTGTTGGTTGTGAAAAGAATCTATTTAAACTTTCATTTTAAAAAAATGCAACTTGTGACTATTTTTTTAGAAAATTATCTGCTATTAATTTTAGGTTAAAATTATTTAAATGATTCTTTAATAAATTACAATATTGTGAATAAATCAGAAATACCACTTCTTAAAGGAAAAGTTGGAAAGTACACCCAACAGGCTGCTAATAAAACCTAAACAAATTCTTGAATATGCAGAAACATTATTTTTAAAGGTTTTAATGTTATGGACATGCATTTAGATTTCGAACTATTTCTTAATGATGTTCTGTACGTAGTAAATTACGGATATCATCTTTATAACTTTAAAACAAAAAACTAACAATAGCGAAGCATTTCATTATAAATTTTACATATTTTTAGTGGAAAATACATGCACGGAACAGCTTAAAAACACATATGTTCACTGCCGTAATGCAATATTTTGAAGTTACAAACATGGACGCCACTTGTTCGGTGAAGTTTCATTTTCCGATAGTGGAGGAAATTGCGAACCCTCCCTCCTTCTATTCTAACCTCCTTGGAAAAAACGATAAATCCTGTTCTTTGAATTGCGGGCTTTATTTGTTTAAACAGCTGAAGTTTGTCAGTATAAACCTCTAAGAAAATGAACTACTTGTAGTTGAATTTTGTTCCTCCCCTTTAAGACAACATTTCACTGTTGTAAATAAAAGTAAAAGAATTGAAAAGGCCAGAAGGTACGTTTGTTTGTTTAGCTGACTAAAGGAAAAGGATGCAACGGCTATATGGGCAAACTTCGGAATGTTTTTGTGGAAGACTTTCTAAGGCAAAAGCGCCCATGCAGCCAGGTCATTCTTAGGGACTCGAATTACAACGTTCAATGGACTTATCGTTTCGGCCACTGAGGGAGATCAGAGCAAAACAAACGAAAAAAAATCCTGTAAACTGTTTCAGTGACGGGCTTTGAAGAAATTAGACATAAGAATTGATAGAACTTATTTATTTTTTCAAAAATATTTAGCTACACATAACATACAACTACAAGTGAGAATCATAATAGAGTTTTTAAATTTTTAGAACTGTACACCTCGAGGCAGAGGTAAAGGGCTGAATGATTTATGATTTCAGACAGACAGAATTGTATCAAACGGCTGGGTACATAGTCGTATGGAAATCATAGATATATAGTATTACTATATCTATGATCTATAGTATTACTATATCTATGATGAAGATATGTTTTGGTGATAAAAAGGTTAATGGAAAAAACTATACAATTAACGCAAATAAGTAATAAATACATTAATAGAAGAAACAAATTGAATAAAAGTATTATGCTTTAAATTTTTCCACATTTATCTTTTTTTTCCCCCGTTTTTCTGCGTTTAGAAGTTATGCACTAAAACTTTACTAAGACGGCCACTCCAAATCAGTTTAGTCTTTTACAGGAGTGTTCCCTTTAGAACACGATTGTCTTTGATGCTAAATACAGTTAATTAATTGCGTTCTCAGACACTGATCGCTTTCAGACAGAGCTGTAGCTAGGGCTTTTAGTGCCCGGGGACAGTTGAAGATCTCGCGAAACTCCTGTTTGCCAAGCGTAGGATACATTTCATTCTAAAATTCGAAGCATCAATTTGGCGCCTACTGGATGCTGCGCCCGAGGACAAATGTCCCCCTCTCTAGCTACGCCACAGCTTTCAGAAATAGTCATCTTAGAGAGATGGCCTCTGTGAAAGATTTCTAAAATGTTTTGTGTTTGACAGAGCCAAAATTCAGCTTCAAATGTTTTTGAAGTGGTGGTCTCTTCGTGTGTTTGCGCAGTGATTGTCGTGCGAGAAGGTGCTGGTTTGGGAAATTCAGGATACATATCCGCGACTTTTGAGCAATGTTTCGCTAAATCCTTCATTAGTTTTTGTCTCTTTACACGAAGTTACTGTGCACTTCTTTTGATTTATCGTTTATGCATTCTTCGTACCTAAACAGGAATATAAAAAATTCAACTGCAATGTTTTTTGTCATCAACTTACATTATTCAGTAACACAATAAAATTCGCTAGAGAGTCTCTTTTAGTTACAATTACGATGCATTATTTTCAATTTCACAATTAAATTAGAACGTGACTGGATTGCGTGACTGCACTGTATTTTCATAAATCTACTTAACGACTGTCGACTATAGGCTCTATTCTACACTACAGCCTACAGCTACCATATATCATGTGAGTTTGAGTGCGATATGCGGTTCGGGCATCCATGTCTCCCTCACGCGCTGGGCTACCTCGCCGAGTTGTCTTTGTCGATTCGATCTTTCGAGTTTCTTGACTGGCCCAAAATCGTTCCGGTCCACCGGGCATCCTATCTGCCACTGCCTGGAACATGCTGTTCTTTATACTTCAAAGTCTATGCCCTTTATTCTATACTAAAATTCAAACACTATCGAACTCTAATAATTTATTATTAGCATATAAAACATATATACACAATTAATATTTACAAGTATTACGTTTCAGATACATGAGAGGACGGTCTATCGTTTTCAGCTAATATTAAATGCGTCACTCGTTCAATTGAGCTCTTTTTCCTTCTTCCACCACAGGTCGTTCGCGGTTGCTGCGTTATTTGTAGGCAAACGTGACAGCATCTGTAGCGCATGTCTTGAATTAGTTTTACAGCGTTAAGTCATCAATGACTATTACAGACCTGCCATATAGTTTTATTTAAAAAAATGTGTACACCACATGACATGGTGGAAGCGCGTTTGGAGCGGTAGTGGGTGGCGTGTCCACCATCAAGAGGTAGTCCTTTTGCTTGACGTGCTGATACCTGCTTGATGGCATAAGGTACTCCTTGCTTTTGTATGCACTTTGTTCTGTATAACCTTTCTTTATAGATTCAACCGCCTGAAGCATACCAGAACTTCGGAGCGAAGATTGGAGCGAAGATCGACATTTTGGCTCTTTCTCCTACTGGGGTCATCTATAGCAAGTCCAAAGAAGTTTCAAGAGGATCTTCACCCACAAGAAACAAGTTCTGATACTGCCGTGTACTGGACACGCACTTTTTGTATATTTGTAATGTGTATGTCTATGTATGTCTTTTGTAATGTGGTGTCGCTTGTATCTTTGTTTTATTGTTAGGGTACGCAAACAACACCTCGGCATAATTAAAAGTATAATTAGGGTTTAATTAAGGGTATAATTAAGGTTATAATTAAAAGTATAATTAAAGGTATGATCAAAGATATAATTAAGAGTAAAATATAAGTATAATTAAGAGGTATTATTAAAATATCGCGTTTTCTCTTTCAGGTTAATTAAGAGTAATTAAGATTAGTTACGTATTCTTTGTTTGCAGGTACTCGCGTTTTTATGTGATAGGTTTTTTTCCAGGAGCCAGTCATCAGGAGTAAGTTAAGAGTTTGTATAATTGGTAAGTTTGTTAAAATATTTAAGTTAAAATACTTAAGTAAAATATCTAAGTATAGTTCCTCTGTATGACCTCTGTGAGGTTGGGGGTTAGTTTACGGTTTATTTTGTGTACAGCTCCGTGTGGAGCTTTGGTAATACGGTATTGTTAAACCTCCTCTCGGAGTAGGTAACAAGGTATTGTAATCTGGTAAAAAGGTATTGTAAATCTCCTGATTGGAGTAGGTAAAAAGGTAATGTAAACCTCCTCTGTGGAGTAGGTATTAAGGTATTGTAAAATAGATTTAAGGTTTTGTAAATCTCCTTGAGAGGAGTAGGTAAAAAAGGTATTGTAAAGTCTCTCATGTGAGAGCAGGTAATAGGTATTGTGAATCTCCATGTGGAGTTGGTACACTTTTCCCTTGTAGTTGCTTTGGTTTTGTTAATCACCTCCTTGGCAGAGGGGTGTGGTAGTCCTTTAACTTTTTTAAGAATTTTTAAGTTTGAGAGAATTCGCTTTGGAATTCTCCCTTTCTTTTTTATAATTTTTTCTAAGTTTGAGACAGTTTTCTTGAATTTTTATTATGTCTGAGGTTGATAAATGTATAGCTCCATCTCCACTTTTTGGAGTTGATGAGAGTAGTGTTAATTGTAATGCTCAGAGTTTGAACGTACAGGGTTTGAATTCTCAAAGTGTAAATCCTCAGAGTTTGGATTCAAATTTACAGAGTCTAAATACTCAGAGTTCGTATTTTCGTATTTTAAATACTCAGAGTTCAAACATTCAGAGTTCAAACACTCAGAGCTTAACTACTCAGAGTTTAAATGTTAAATTGAATGATGATCATCGGTCCATGTCAGATGATTCGCTTGGTTCGGGTTCAAATGTGTTTATGTCCAATAATGAAGTTGGTTGTTCCATTATGGCTATTATT